GATAGAGAGTATATGTATATATGAATAATTGAGTAAATTCAACTTGTGCTTATTTACCATCATCATCATCATCATCATCATCATCATCATCATCATCATCATCAGCAGCAGCAGCAGCAGCAGCAGCAGCAGCATCATAAGTGCCTGTGTTGAATTCGCTCTCAGCCGCGACGTCATCCTTTTTTTCAGCCACGTTAAGTGTTTACAACGACGACGTGACGTGCGAAAGAGTTAAACCACGAGAAAGTGCGTGAAAAAGTGCATAAAAACCAGTCTGCTCTTCCTGCTGTTGTAATGGATTCGTCTTTTCTAGTAACCTTTTATATTATGGGTTTTCGCATATCAAGAGGAGTGATAGCGAGGTTTGAGAGGTGAGGATCGAGAGGCTAATGAACATGAGTAAAGTATGAATTTACCGACCAACAGATGACGCCACGTACATGTAGTGCAAAGTCGTTGAAATATTTAAAACGCTATTTATTTGCGATAGACAAACCATTAATTACAATCTTGTGTAACTACAATTATCATGCATAAAGAAACGTTATTAAAATCAACCTTTCCCTAATTTTCTATCAATATTACATGTGACAAATATCACATAAAATCGCACAGGGGAGGTCTGGATCCGCGTCACGTGACCAGTGCACGTGACCAGTGCACGTGACGTTATGATGTAAACTTGACGTGCAATCCGTGATTGCGCTTGTTGTTGTGTAGGACGCTACAGCGAGCTAACGCAGTAACAGTCGTCATTGATTGAAAATCAGATTCAAAATGGAAATAAATGTATATATAGTGCTGGTCGTCATTTTGTGTAGCACGTGCATATGTCCGTCAAATGGTAAGTTTTGAAAATACGGGTCATATCGTTGTGTTTTCTTGCTTATCAATCGATTTAATTTATATCATTGTCAATGCCATTCAGTGATTCACTGCGAGTACAATAATGTAGGCCTATATTCTATAAGAAAAAGTACGTGTACTATAATATGTACGGCTGAGAGGGTCTATGTCCCCCAGGGTACTGCCGGAACGTAACCCTGGCGGTTACGACCGCTCGGATATACGCGGAAACGTTACCCTGGTACTATCCAATAATATTAATTACATACTCAATAGTATATATGTCGCGACGTAGGCCCTTACCTTCGCCTATGCAACTAACGTCTAACGAGTCTAGGGAGTCGCCTACGCCTACTCCCTAATCCTAACCCTAACCCTAACCATATTCAAATAGTTACCAGGGTACGGTCCGTTACGGACCGCTACCAGGGTACGTTCCGGCAGTACCTGGGGCGACATAGGGACCTATGAGCATATTGTACGTGTTATTGAAATGTATTGTAGGCGTTAGAGGTCCATATGCTATTGCTGACATATTAACTTACAATCGAAAAATGAAGGCGTTATGTAGACATTGTAGTGACTGCCAATGGTGTGACGTACGGCTGGAGATCTCATATGTCTGACAGTCTGTAATATCACTATCATCACTAACCACCTATCAGTTCATGAGATATATAATTATCATTTTAGTCTTTGAGACGGATGATCTAGTCTTCGTAAAATAACGACAATATAAAGATACTAGGCCCTCTGGCTATAGCAATGTTGACGAATGCTAAGAGTAACTCGGCCACCTTGTTAGTGAATAAGTACATAAACCTTACATCAACGCGTATTAGTTTGTCCAA